AGAGGGTGACCTTAGCACCAGACTTTTGCTTGGGGAGGGTCACATAACCTGTGCTGACGGCTTGCAAACCTCAGAACAAGGGCAGTTGTCGTAACAAACTGCCCACTGAGAAGAGAATGCTGATTCCCAAGTGTCAGCGACAGTGGCACGTTCTCTCGCTGTGTGGTTTGTGCTTAGCTAATCACTCCCGAGGAGGAAGAAAAGCCTAAATTGATCCTACAGACTCCTTGTAAAGAAAGAACCCAGCTAATGGTCATCTTTCAGCCGAGTGTGAGCACGAACGCTGAGATCAGAGGTAAAAGCATACATCACAAACCCCTCTCCCCCCCCAGTGATTAAATCAGAAATTATGGCCGACTCAGAAGTCTAAATGCTAAGTGCTTTCTTTTCCCTAGCAGGAGAGGCAGAAATAGCATTGGTTATCTTCTGCCAAACCCCGAGATCACATTCTTTTCTCCCTCCTCAACAGGAGGGACGGAGTGGTGCCATCTTGAAACCGATCAGTGTGTTCAGCTAATCAAATTACCCAATGCCTTGGCAATGTGCAATGCCAGGTGCAAAAAGGCAGCTACATCTCTTCATTGCGGCCACAGCCATTAGCGTGCAAGGCAGACATTCTTCTATGATCCAGCCCGGCCATCGTTTTAGGTCTTGCTGTAACATTTAAAGTCATCCTCTCTTAGGGTACATCTACACTTACCTCCGGGTCCGACGGCAGGCAATCGATGTTCTGGGATCGATCCCGGAAGTGCTCGCCGTCGACGCCGGTACTCCAGCTCAGCGAGAGGAGTACGCGGCATCGACGGGGGAGCCTTCCTGCCGCGTCTGGACCCGCGGTAAGTTCGGACTAAGGTACTTCGAATTCAGCTACGTTATTAAAGTAGCTGAATTTGCGTACCTTAGTCCGAAGTGGGAGGGTAGTGTGGACCAGGCCTTAGTTCCCAAGGCCAGAAGAGACCACTAGATCATCTAGTCCAGTGGCTAGTTTCAGTGTATAGTATATCGAACAGTATAGACACTTCATTGTATGAAATTTAATTTGTACTGACTTCGCTAGTGCTTGTTATGTAGCCTGTTGTAAAATTAGGCAAATATCTAGATGAGTTGCGTATCCCCTGGAAGACTTCTGCGTACCCCCAGGGGAATGCGTATCCCTGGTTGAAAACCACTAATCTAGTCGGATCTCCTGTACAGCCCAGACCAGAGAATTTCATGCAGATATTCCTGTACTGCGCTTATTGTCTTGCTTCGCAGAGCTACCAAAAGGGATGTACAATTACCCAGTGTTGGATGAAATCCAGGCAGGCTGTGTCCTAACGACCTCCTGAAGCAGCTAATTCCACACGTGGACTGAGTAGAGGGGTGTTTCCTGTGATGGGCTCTAAACATACCACCCTTCCATTTACAGGAGGGGTCCCATGTTTTCTCGTAAGGATGAGGGAAGCCAGCTGTTTTCAAGTCTCCTCTAACTCTCCTTTCCAGCTAGATAACTTCACCTTTTGCCACCTCTGGCTTTACCCAAACCCCACCTTGTCGCTGCTTTAAAGTTGCCCTTGTTTGGGTTATTTTCGAGGTGTAGTTTTGCAGGTGGGATGATGTTTTTCAGGCACAAGTTCCCAGCAGGACTTAACATTGTGCAATTTCTAAAGCACCTTTTTCTTCCACTGGAGTTCATACCGGCTCCTGTGCAATGGGGTAACATTTTCACTGAGCTGTCCGGGCAGAGTCCTACATCTTTCCCCAGAGGATGCTGCAGTTCACAGTGCAGAGATTATTTTTGGTAGTATAAGTTTCCCTAGATTTCTCCCGGTTCAATTTCATTTGCCATTGTGCTTTCTTAATCCTCCCTGCCCCTCAGCCAATGTCATTTGCCTGGAATCTCAAACTCCCTAGGCTTGTACTGCCCAAGAGAGTCGTGTGTTGCAGCTAAACCTCAGAACTGGCTCTCCACTGCTCAAGTCACTAAAGGTGAGATATCAGTAGCACTCAGCATTGACCTAGCTCAGATCATGGACTTCAACGGGAGCAGAGTTAGGACAAGGCTGAGTGCTTTTGAAAACCCCAACTCAATGTATCAACACTGGGGGACCTCAGCATTCATGGTCCTCCACTTCAAGGAGCTTGTTTCCTATCATTTAAACCTCTTTAATCCAGGCTCAGACTGTGCTGTTTACCACAATCATTCTTGTCCTTTATTGGTTTTAAGAGGCCTTCTCAAAAGCCTTTTTGAAAAAAATCCAGTAAACTAGACCCCTTGAGTCAGCTCTTAACTTTTACAAGGTGCTGGGACACTTCAGCGAGGCACCATTTCCTCTTATAGAAGTTGTTTGACCTGAAGTGCTGTGCTACAGTATCCTTAATTACATGCTAATTCTCCAGCTGTGCTTCTTGGCATAAACTAAATGCTGCTCCTTTGTTTTGCCAACCGAGCTGCTTATGAAGCAAGTAACTTCTTTTTGCCGTCATCCCAAACACTTCGCTTTCACGCTTAGCTGGGCTTATAATGGCCAGGACTGGAACAGCTATGCTGCTTGGGTCAGTTGCTCATGGTCACCAAGTTAACCAGGATGCTATCAATTTCCAGCAGCTTTCTTGGTGCACAGATTATTGCATGAAGAACACACCTGGCCAGTGAGGGGGTGAGAATGGAGGAGGAACCCTCTGATGTGTCATATGTTGAGTACAGACAGAACTGCCATCCACATACTTGCTGAATGAAGTTCATCTATGTAATTATATAGAACACAGTACATCCACAGACACACGTACCAGGTTAACTTCCAATACTTCTGCATCTCCTTAAGCAGGACACAGACCCATGCAAAATGTGCAGTTGTGTGGTGCCCTCTAGTGGCCAATCTTTGCACATGAAGCATTTGTTCAGCTCAAACAAGTGTATGTGTGGAATTATTTGCTCCCACCTATTTTCAGGTGATTCTTCTAACAAAGGCAAATTTTTAAGACAGCTAAAGTTGACCCTGGATTCTTCAATCAGTAACACTGGTCCAAGTCATGCTTCAGCTGAGAAAGCTGTGACAGGTTACAATAAAAGCACCAATTTTAAGGAAGGCTTCAGCCCCCAAATGTTTAATGGTCTACACATTTAAACTTAATCAGAGGAAAGTCCTGGTTCATAAGGCCCAGAAGGTTTGGACATGCACCAAACCTCCTCTGACTCTCTAGGTCAGATCAGATCGGTCTTCAAGCCTATTAATTTGTAGCAGTCAAGCATTGAAACAACTGGAATTTTCTCTCTTTGGAGGTGGTTATCTCTGAAATTCCCATACGTCCAGGGCTATGCCTGAAGGCAGATGCCTACTCTTAAAGTTCTACATGCTAACTCTGCTCGCTGCACAGCTGAGTTTGAGATTGTGAGGAAGAAACAGCTGGTCTCACTGATGTTATTGAATTATAATTGGCCACAGTCCATTACAATCCAAGTGTTCCATCACCTAAACTGCTCAGATTACCTGCTGAGCACAGTTTTAGCCACAGTTCTCTCATTTTAAAAACTGGGTGAATTTGATGCTTTTAAAAATAAGAAATTTAACAATTAACTACAGCCAGACAGTGCAAGGGAGAGATTCCTTCACACAGCTCTGCTCAGGCACCTCACACCAACCTGAGGCCTCTCCTGAGCAGAGTCTGCCAGTTGTATCATGCCGTTAGCTCTGTCAACATCTAACAAGGGACCTGGTTAGGATAATCAAAATTGCGTCCATCTTTTGGACAAGATATAAACAGAAGTCCTGACCACATTTGAGCATAAGGTTGTATTTAATAAAAATGGAGCTTCTAGCCGAATTCAAACACCGACAATTACATCTGTCTCCCTAAGTCCCACCCGCCCCGTAGCTTCTACTGGACAAAAGGCATTCTTAACCTCTTGTACTGAACTGTCATGCAGTGTTGCTATGCACAGTTAAATAGCTGTGTTCTACCCAGCTGCATTTCAGTGGTGGATGATATGATCACGGTGTATAGTTTGTATTCTAGTTTATGGAGTGTGTGGCCATCTTTTGATGTGAAAGGCATGATACAGAAGTAGAGTCATATCAGTTATGTCTCGCATTTGAACCACACCTCCAGGAAGCAAGATCCCATCTAGCCCTCCCCACCCACTGAATCCCTTTTCCTGCAGTTTCATTTCTCATGGCATTTTGTAACATTTTTACAGGACCAGCCCTTAAGAGCTTTAGTAGGAGGCTATCACCTTGTTGGATTTGTGCTGGTTACTTTTGGTACTCATACATATGCTCAGACACTGAGTAAAAGAAATGTAGATTATCTAAAAAGAAATTTATTGCATTTCATGCAGCTTATAATACATGCATTGACTGAGACTAGCGCAATGGTTAACAACTTCCTCTCCACCCCCCAGATTTCCTTTAGTGTTTCTGGAATAGACTGGGACAAGTTAGAGCCTCTACTGTCCTTAAAAAATACGTTCATTGTAACACAAGGAATGTTTTATTCCCCCAGAAGCTGCAAATATCCAATGCCTAGGCTTACCAAAAACAGGGAGGGAGGGCGCGGGGAGGAAAATCTCCCAGTACACTCAAGTGCACACACACGCGCGCGCGCACGCGCACACACACACACACACACACACACACACACACACCCCTACTGAACTACCAAGTTGAGAAACCTTAGTCTAGCTCTATTCAGAGTAGAATACAAACAAACCTGGGAATAAAGCTGTTATGGGAAACAAGATACAGGACCTTTTTACAAATCTGACCAAAGAAAAATGTTCTACATCATTTAATAAGCTGCTATAGATTTCATTTTGTTTAATTATTTTCAGTTTTATAGAGATGAACAAGCAGCTAAGTACGTTGACATTTTCTGAAAAAAATAAAAATATTGCATCCTTGTCAGTTTCTGTTGGATATTTGCTCATACCCACCAGAGGCGGTGTATAGTGCACCAGAGATCAGAGCCTACTATAGGCTTCATATCAAGTACAGATACACAGAGGGAGACATCTTCATCAGAGCCGGTCGGAATGGCAGAAGTCAAGCTGGTGTGTGTCAATTTCCATGCTGACAGAATACTCACTAGGGTGGGCTAATTCAGTCCCCTGCCACCTGAGGCGCTTGTCCATCAGAAGTCTGATTGGTGGACTGAATAAACATGGGCTGGGTGATGTCCTGACCTGCAGGCATGGTCACTTGCTGAATCTGATAGAGTTGCTGGAAGAGGTTGAAAGGGGATGGGAAAAAAAGGTAATCAAGTGTCAGCAAGATGTTCAACTATTAATAGCATGCAGCCGGTGTAGCCCTCAGATTTGACCAATGGTATGAATCAACACACAAAGCAAGTAAAATATGCTCAAAAAGTTGGAGCATGAATTACTCTAGGCCTTAAATACCAAAATGTGACCGTATAATGAAGTAATTTTATGAACTTCTGATGCCCAGTTGGAACCTGACAGACTTTGTTTTATATGTATAATGTTATGAGAGCTTGATCCCTGAACAGATTAGGACTGAAAAAGCTCCTACTGATGATTTAACCTTTTATAGGTACCAGAGTCGGTTTGTCAGGTTACTTCTAATCACCTTCATTTGGCACTCTGTATTCAATTATTGCTCAACCACTTAGACTTGAAATCCTATTACATATTCCAAGCAGGCAGAACTAACTTTTGTTCTCACACTGGATACTATTTTCACAACTTGTCTGAACAGAGAGAGACAGTGTCCTCCAACACATTTCCCCAGCTTATGGCTCAGTTTGATTTATTGAGCCTTTCCTGCCACCTGGTTTGTATAAATAAGCAATTCAAGATATATTTACTGCCAGTTTGCTCAATACCAATTTAGTAGTGATTCTATTTTCTGTTAGTCTACACTCTGAAGTTTGATCAAGCTGCATTTCATATTAGCCCTATCTTCAACAAATTGTATTACAAAGTTTATTTATGGCAAATCTACCCCTCACTGGATCCAGTCTGATGTGTCCATTCAAAGAACTTAAAGAAATTATTCCATCTACTTCATGTGCAGCATTTACGACAAATGAATACAAAGAGTGTGCTAAACTATCATTAAATACTCCCTTCACACAGACAAACTGAGAATACACCGCCCTCAAGTTGTTCTACTTCAAAAAGCTTTCCAGTGACACACTGAGAGGTTACACACCAAGTGTCTATCCTTGTTTATTGGCTTAAACATTTCCTAGGATGCTATCTTAATAAGACACAACATCTTATTTCTAGTAGCACCTGGGATGAGACTGATAGGGCAAAAGTTAAATAGCTGATCTGCCATATTCTCAAAGAGTAGGGTTAATTTGGAGTAAATATAGCAAGATAATAAAAGGACTTCACATGAACTACAAGTTTGTCACAGTTCTCATGAATCCTGGCTGCTAGGTCCATTTTGGGAGTGGTAGTGACGTTCTAATCTCACTATCCCACTTCTTGTTAGACACCTAGTACTAAAGGCCAAGAGCTTTCTTAGCTCTGACTTCATGGACACTGGCTCCTTACTGATCAGTCAGTCGTCATGAGTTCTGAGATAGGTACCTGTCCATCTGTGAACTGGCTGAACTGCTGCTGTCCTTGCTGGACTTCTGTTTGTGTAATCTACAATAAAGAAATGACACGGGTGATCAGTGAGGGAACATACCTGCTGGGTCAACAATAAATTAACAATATTTTACCCTCCCACAGCACCTTTCACTGGTGGATCAGCACGCACTTTACAGGTTTTTTTTGTTTTGTTTTTTGTTTTAAATTAAGCTTCATAACATCCCTGTGTGGTAAAGCAAGACAGATTAAGGTCCTTGCCTGGAGTCATATCAGTGAGTCAGTGGCAGAGCTGGGAACAGAACCCACGAGTCCCATCTCTCTGTACTTACCTCTGCGCTAAATTAGTCTCCAGTACAAGCTCACAGAAATGTCAATTTTAAACAAAACATATATGAAACCACACACAAAGTAGCATGGCAATGAATGCTAGTTGAGAACAAAGGGCACTGTTGGATTCAATAATTAAAAAGCAATGCAAAGCAACCTCCCCTTACTTTTATAAGCAGTACATGGACACTCAGTTTACAGACAGGAAGATGAGCAGTTCTTTCAGTTTTTGAGGGTGGATAAAATTAGGTTTAGCTACAGTTGTCTGACAAGAATATGAAGCATCTTAGCAGTTGTGTTGATCTGAGCTGTGCTGCTCTCATTGAAAACCTTATTGCCCCATCTCTGGAGCAGTTCTAGCTCTGAGGAGAGTTACTGCCCTGTCCTCCTAGTCAAAAGGAATTGAAGAGAAGAGAAGAGAAGAGCATAACAGATGAAGCGTGAGAAGCATTAAGCTCTACCCCACAACCAGTGCAGGCTGATAACCAAGTCAATGGCTGAGTTGTAAAAGCTCCTCATTTAAAAAGTGGTGAACGTTTTCAGGAGTTCCAAGAGGTATCTTACATAACAAAAACACAGATTTCTGGTATGACACTGGAGACTTCTGTCCAATGCACAAGGCCAACTATCCATTTAACATGCACAAAATGGACATGCCTGAACGTATTGGAGGCAACAGAATGAAAAACACATCTACTGACCCCTAATCTGGCTAGACAGTTGAGAACTCTGTCACGTACTCATGTTAAGTTGGTCGACTTCAAGTTGATTCCCTTTGTGAGTTTTTGATATTGAAAGAGCTTTCTTTGAGCGTATCTCCAAACTAATGCTATGTCTACACTAGAGACCTTACACTGAGCTCTCTGTCAACATACTTAAAACCACCCCCAATGAGGGGCAGTGGCTATGTCGGCGGGAGAGTGTCTCACACTGTCCACACTGGCTCTTTCTGTCGGTGTAACTCATGTCGCTCAGAGGGGTTTTTTCACACTCGAGCGACATAAGTTATTCCGACAAAAGTGCTAGCGTAGACAAAGCCTAAATCTATTAAGATTGAAACTTGAATCCTAACTCTGACACTGCTACAAATAAGCACACACATGTATGTCAGGTAGATTCTGCCCTTAAAGACGAAAGGAAGAGATGAGAAATTGAGGGGAGCTGTTTGGTGCCCTGTTGCTCCTTCAGCTCACACTCCTTGTGGAGATATATTCAACAGATTTCTCTTCTTCTACACAGCATTAAAACGGATTGGTTTATGTGGCACCTCAGAAGTGCATGGTATTTTGCAATGCAGGTAAAGGCAACATGTCCTGCTTCAGAGAGATTTTAAGAAAACAACACAGGGATAGGTAGAAGAAAGGAAGGATGTGGGATTGGAAAATGGGATCATTAGGAAGCTAATTGTATCTAGAGGGTAATGAAGCAGGGTAGCTATCTTAATTTTTCAGATTACTAACATGATTAGTTTTATTTCTTGTGACTACAGGTGACTGGGCGAGGGTGAGAAGATAAAACATCATGTCTTATGATAGCCATATGCAGTCCTAGCAAGAAGCACTTGATCATTTGTAGTGCACTGGGAAAAAATCCAGGCGCTTACATTTTGAAAAATTTAAGAGCCATTCCTGAATGATCTGCCACTTCTCCCATATCTGCTTAGGAGCGCACACTCACCCACCCTCAGGGATGAAGAGTCTTTCTGCTAAGAGCCTGAAGCACTGATGTCAATAGACCTTCAATGCAAGAGATGTGCTTCTAACATTAAGATTGCTCCAAAGGACACAAAGAGATCACACTCGTGTCTTTCACTCTCTGCTTTGGACCTTCTCTTTTACCCTATGCCCACACAGCTTGCCAGCCCTCTCCTTTCATGAATCCTCCTTATACTGGTGATCTTTCCACAAGGCCTGAACTGTTTGTATCTTGTGGCATTAAATGGGCAGCGCCTGGGCCTCACCATAGGCCTTGTACAAGTGCTGTGAACATTTACATCACTACCCACATTTACATGAATGAGATGGTTACTCCAGACTTCCACTGTGCTGTTTTGTTTTATTTTTATTTATTTTTTATGAATGCAGTAAGGCATAAAAATCAGGAATGCTGGAAATTGGAATCTCAACACATGGGAAGAATAGTTTAATAGTTAATGACAAGTTTTTGGTATTACAGTACATACCTGCTGTGCGTTGGCTGCAAGCGTCTGGATCTGTCCCTGGACTACCTGGGTGCCTGATACTGGCTGAGCTAAGCGGATATACTGCAGCTGGCCAGCATTCAGTTGAACCTAGAAACAAGGTAGGGAAAGAAAAATAAAACAGTGGACTGTGTAGTATGAAACACATAAACTTGCCTTCTTGTTTCCCCAACAGAAACCAGAGTAACAGATGATACTTGGAGGATTGAACAGATGCAGTGTTGAAATTAATAGTTACATGGATTCTGTCAAAGAAAATACAAAGAACACTTTACCACTGCAAATTCTTAACTAAAACTTGAAAGAGCCACCTTAGCATCTCTCTTTCTACAAGGGGAAAGTATTTAGAAAGTAGCACACTGAAGGTTTTGATCAAGGGTTTGATCAAGAGCCCTTATATTTCCTTTGCAAATACAAAGAGTGATCAGGTTAGTTCTTCTGTCATACAAGTCATTCGTACACATAAGAAAACTACTTTACCAGTGAGCAAGCTGCAAATAGTGACATTCCTATTACGTTCTTCCCATCATTTTCCTTTAGATGTTTGGTAACTTTTCACCTTCTTAAAAATGAGGGAACAACAGCACTGGCTAGAACCAGGAATACTGCAAAGGCTTCCAACACAATTCTGCCAGTGTACTTCAGTCCTGACATGACAAAGGCTGTAATATTATCATGCCAATGTTTTGTGCTTTATATTAAAATACAAAACCTTCAGTTTAATATAACACAAGGTGAGAAGTTTAAATGTTGGCAAGTCAGAAAAAAGTTACCATAGTAACATTAGTTCTGCTCTCTTACACATTCTGCATTTTTAACTATATTAACAAACATTGGAAAAGCAACACAAACGAAGCAAAACATGGAACACGGCTGAATTAATGTTACTACCAGAACTGCAACTTTTTCCATTAACCTACTTTTGAACATTTAATTCAGAATCTTAAGGTTAAATCGTTATATGCAGCTTGCATTTTAATTTACTTTTAAACAAGGGGGGCGAGGGGGGAATCAAGAGCCATTACAAGAGCATAAAAACTCCTTTGCTTCACCAGTGACGCTGGGAAGCTCTTGGAACAGAAATTATTGGGCTTGCAGTTTACACAAACTCTGCTGACTTCACCAGTTGTGTCCAGAAGCCCCGATATTGCTCTTGAAGCAATAGCCTCTGCTGCAGTTCTAAACTCCATACGAACATAAACATTTCAATACACAATCTGTTTCTGCATTAAAATTTGCCTGCAGAGAAGGTTCTTTCTATTGAAGGCTTCCCACTTCGATTTTTAACTGCAATATTAATTTAATGGGTGAAACAGATTTGAAATACTTATGAAAAAAAACTTATTTTTGGTTTTGCAGAGAACAAAAAGGGTCTAGAGCTCATTGACATCTAGCTAATGTGAAAATTTCAAATAGTAAAATTCAGCTATTTTTGAGATGTGAGCAAAACATTAACATTTACCTAAAACGTACAACTCCCACCTTTTCTCAAAGTTTAAGAAAAAAAATAAAAATAAAAGCACAAGACAACATATGAGCTGAGATCAACGATGGAAAATTATAGCCAGAAAAACATTTTCAGAAGTTATAAGCAGGTGCAAACCAATGGGGTTATAAGGAACATTCTGATATCAAGCTTTTAATTACAGTGGGCACTACCAGTTTTATGACACCTTATATCAGAAATGTAAGTTTTTGTGCATGTGCAGTGAGAGACAAGAAGAGACTTTCAGTGGAGCCCTGAACATGAGGAGCCATTAAAGGGAGATACTGATGATGCCACCAATAGGATAGGAGAGAGCTCCAGGAAAGCAGCATAGCGAAAGTGGAAGAGGCTAGAACAACAGTGCTGAGGGCAGCATAGACTAATGTCCTATTAAAAACCATCTGAAGAGAGTGCATTTGTTGCTGCACTTTGTATTCCTACACTGTGGCCTGATAGATTATCTATCTGAAATACAGAATGGGTCTCTCTGTACAGTAACCGGTGCTTCAAGTCAGTGTGGATCCCCTAGAAGGTGTGCAGGAGCCTCATGTGCACAAGGCAGAGTTTTTTGGAATAGCAATGTTTGTCAGGGCCATGCATGCACCCTATCTTTCCTTATGCTCCTATGTGAGGGTAGAACCGTGACAATCCCTCAGTTTCCTCACAGGTCAAAGTGCACATTTCTGTGGACTCAAATGCACGGATGGATGACAGGGCATGGGATCCACAACCACAGTTACTGTAGAGTAACCATTTTCCCTCCTTTGAGTATGTGTCAATGTGGATCCCACTGTAGGTGATTAGCAAACAGTATCCTCCCTGGAAGGCAGGAGTGGGATTTTGGCAGTGCTAGTCAAACAGCAACTGCAGTACTGCTCTTCCAAAATCAGCATCTGACCTGGCTGCCATGTCAAGGGCATAAAATTTAACAGAAGTCAGTGAGTTGCTCTACCTTGCAGACCTGAGTCTGGAACATTCCTGAAGAAAACAGAAGATGCTGCCTGTGCCCTGGGGGACTGTGTCTTGATGTTTGGCGGAAGAGGCTTGCCAGCCATCTGAAAGCTAGTGGAACTGCTCTGTGTGATCCTCTTGGAGATTCTTTGAGACGAGATGGCTTGGCCTTTAGATGGGCCAGAAATGCCCACAAAGTGGCAGGGATGCAGCCAGAAAGGTTTGGTTCCATTAAGGTAATAGAGCAAAGCTCTGGACACATCCAAAATATGTAACTTCTTTTCTCCTGGTGTCAAGTGCAGCTTCAAGAAGAAGACTGGCAAAGTGATCAACTGGTTCAGGAGGAAGTCTCAGACCACCTCAGGAATGAACTTGGGGTACAGTCTCAACAGTATCATGACCTATGGAAAGAAGTTAGGCAATCCGGCCATGAGAGCGTGGAACTCGCTGACTCTCTGATGAGCTGATGGTCACCAGAAAGACCGTCCCGATGGTCAGGTGGTGTACTGAGCACTCTGACAGTGGCTCAGAGAGGGAGGTTCCATCAGTTTTAGGAGGACGATGTTGAAATCCCATGTGGAAGTCAGGTCCTTAACTGGAGAGGAGAGAGAATGGAACCCCCTTTCTGTATGCTCATTGGGTCTAGCCACCACATGAGCTCTTACAGTTCTTGAGGGAGGACTGTGACTCTTCTGTTCAAGTGATGTCTGGATGGGGAGTATGCAGGCCTCAGCTGTAGCTTAAGGACCAAAAGTGAAGCCTGGCAAGCAGTATTTTGTATGTACATACCCATATGTGGCCACAAGTGCACCCCACTGTCACTGGGTTTGATTTTAGGTTGTTTTCCAGCAACTGAAAAAATCTGAATTTGTCCTCTGGCAGGTAGGCGCTGGACAATCAGGAGTTGGTCACGGCTCTTATGGATTCTATCATTCATGATGATGTAAGGGATGACTTCTTATAGCTCACAAGGAGTCCCAGTTGACGGTACAGGGAAAAGGCTGTTACAGTCTCCTGTGGGGTTCTGCCTCTGATCAACCAATTGTACAAGTACAGATAGATGTGGATTCCATGCTGCCTCAAAATGCACTACCACTACTTGCTAAGCATTACTCTCAATGCCATGGAGAAGGGCTGAACCCTCTATTGGTAAAGGTTGAGATCTCTGGGAGTATCAGGGACTCAATGGATAGCTATAAGGAAGTATGCATTGTGATGGGGAAGCCTAATAATAATTAAAATAAATATTTTCTGCTTCTGTAGAGCCTTTCCGCCAGCAATCTCAAAGTGTTTCATAAAAATGCTTTATAAAATAAGGAAATATTATTACACCTATTTCACAGATGGCGAACGGACACAGAGATACTAAGTGACTTGTTTAAGGTTGCAGAATCAGACTCAAACAGAATTGAAATAACACGTTTTGCTGAAGTATAGGTAGTAAAAGACTTAAGGTTTAGGCAATAAGTGTTACATTAACAGTTTCCTAAGCATACCTCATTATTTTTTCTTCCAAGACAAAATTCAGGCAGTGGTAGGTAGGTAAGTAAGTAAGTAAATAAAGTATGTGTGTATGTATGTGAAAGGGCTGATGTAACAGAGTTTGATACAAGACCATGAGAGTGTTACACATTCCCCCTGGTGGAGTCTTACCGGAATTTGCTGGATTTCTCCTGTGTTGGTGATTATCTGCTGCATGACTTGCATGGTCTGCCCAGTTCCACTCTGAGCCTGCTGCGTTTGTCCTTGTGGCTGTGCCTGGACGATCTGTACCTGTTGACCCTCACCAACCTGCATCGTCACTGGGGTGGTCTGAATTCCAACACAAAAAGGAGCACTGATTGACTTGTCTGAAAGTAAATGGAATCTCAGAGATTTACAGCCAGTAACCAGAGGCTCTTTACAGACCTGCTTTCAGCTTGTTGATATTTCAAACTCAACCTACTTCAGCATTGTGACAACCTGGAAAAGCAGATTCTCCTGATTCTAAGTCTACTGCCACCAAGAAATAGATAGAGTTAATTTTAGTTTTCAACAAAATCTGTATTGTTCAGTTTTAAAGAAGATAAGGTTATTTGCAGAAGTTCATGTGCATTTTTGCCAGCAGAGATCTATCTATCTTACGTACTTAACTGGCCCTACTACCATAGCATCTGAGCACCTCACAGTCTAATGTCTTTATCCTCAGCCCCCATGAGAAAGGGAAATAATATTCTCCCCATTATACAGATGGTGAACTGAAGCACAGAGAGGCTAAGTGACTTGCTCAAGGTCATGCAGGAAGTCCGCAACAGAACAGGGATTTGAAAAGAGGTCTCATGAGATCTAGGTTAATGCCCTAGCCACTGGACAATCCTTCCTCTACGAAAGGGGCCCTTCCAAAGAAGTAAACAAAAAAGAGCCACAGTGGCACTTATATACCACTAGAAACACAGCAATATTAAATGTTTGCAAACAGAAGAACAAAACTGTCTGGAAAAGTAAGGTTCCTGAGGCAGGCCCCATGTTAGCTCTTAAAATGCCCATACTATGCCGTATATACTATACTGATGGTACTTTTAAAATAACATTTTCCAGTCTCAATGTGAGAGAAACAAGGATAAGAAAAAAGCCAGTACAAACTGTAAGATTTATGTAGTTAACAGCATCCATATAAGCACAAAAATGCATTACAGCTTCACTTCTGTCATGCAGCTGCCATCGCTCACTTCAGAATAATGGTCCAATTTAGTCCCATGAATCAACAAGTCGTACATTTGCTTTTGAAAATACAGGGACGTCACTTCCCTAGTAGGTAGGCCTATGCAATTCAGTATTTCAACACAAAGTACTTTAGTTGCAATCCATGTAGTTCCTTGTTCCTCTGAGCATTTTACAGACAGCAGGGGAGATGTCAAGGTGCTACACAATATGGAGTTATGACATCAGAAGAGGTTACTAACATCCTAGTGTGTAGCATCAATGCTGTTTTCCCCAAAGGCTTTCAGACACACCAAAAATTTAATTTCCTCCAACATTTTGGATAAGGGAGAGGAGGATGCTACAAGATTTATTGGGAGCTTTGGTTGAGCGGCGACTGGATAGACAAGGTAAACACAATCCTCCACCCTAAATTATACAACACCCAAGACTGTTCAGCTAATCAAATAAACTAAGTGGCTTATTTTAAGACCTAAGAGGCATAGCCTCATACAAATAAAGCCCATGTATATAGATCTAATGTCAAGTGCTTATAAGTCCACACAGCAGGTACACCAGGCAATGTACAGTCATTAGCCGTTAGGATAAAATCCTGCACTGACAAGTGGATGATTAAATGACCAAATAAGTCCCTCTCCATCTCCATACACTATGGAAAAAAATGCCACTTTTTCAAATGAGATGGAAACCTTCTGTCAATAGTCCTCTTGGTCTCTTTCAAAACAGTTACATAACGACACTGAAATTAATTGAAACTGTTATATAGGTTGTTAAACCAATTTACTTAGTGCAGAAAAAACCTTTCTAGCAAATCACCAGAAAGACATGAAGTTTTTCCCTCCTTCAGAGTGTTCATGGGAAGGTAAATACAGCAATTGCCCACTTGTTAAGTTTTCAAACAAGCATCTATGTGCTTTCTCCTGTTCTGCCCCTGATACTTGGGAGGAGCACCCTGTGCAAAGCCACCTCATTATCCTCCTTCAAAACTCTCCTGTTCTGTGAGGCCTACAAAAAACTTGGCAACAATCACACTTCTGGTGTGCTGAGACCACAGCCTGTCATGCTGACCATATTGTCTCGCTTTTTATTTGCATCCCCCATCTATATCCACCTGTCGCCTTGTCTTATACTTAGCTTGTAGTCTCTTTGGAGCAGGGACCACCTTTCTGTTCTGTGTTTGTACAGCACCTAGCACAGCGGGGTCCTGGTCTTTGACTAGGGCTCCTAAGTGCTAAGGTAACACTAGTTACTACTGGTAACATCCAGATGTGGCTTTTCATCCCCAGGGTACAGCGAGGCCTTGGCTGGCTAGGTAGAACTGTAAGCCCTCGTGCTGTGCCTGTTCACTGACCTGTCCTTGCTGAGGCTGAGCGATGATGATCTGTCCTGGCTGGATGGTAGTAGTGGATGTGGTGGTCTGTTGTCCCTGCTGTTGCCCCTGTACCTGTACTGCGGCAGGCTGTTGAGCAAGCGTGAAATAGTACTGGACAGGCTCAGCAGGAGTCACAGCCTGGCGCACCTCTTCCTAGAATACAGGAGGGGGAAAAAAAAAGACTATGCATTTTGGCTGAAATCCACTTCCATAAACAATGCTCAGTACAATGGATTCTTTAATGTTTGGCTTAAACGGCTTAGAACCTAAGGAAAATAAATTCAAACTGCCCTGTAAGGATAAATCAGATTGAAAATAATGGGTTTCCACAGACTTTTACTGAGCTACACAAATCAAAGCATTTCAAATTTCTAAGGTACAACGTGATCACCCATTTCATTATGAAAAGCAAATGAGCAAACAATTATCATAATTAAAACCCATGCAATTACAGTGCTTGGCAGTAAATTCCAGCAAGGCCTGTTATCTTAGCACAGTGCTAATTGGAAGTGCACCACGAAGAGACATACAAAAGCATCGCATGCCACTGAAGCCTGCTCCTTACCCTACGTGCTGAACACAAACCTCAATCTACCTCTTGCTGTGACACCACTGGGAGTTTTAAAAAGACAATCTGATTTTATAACCAAACCATTCCAGAATTAAGCTATGTCTACACTGCATTTTCATCTGTAAAACTTTTGTCAGTCAGAGGAGTGAAAAAAAAAACACCCCTCTGACCAACAAAAGTTTTACCGACGAAAAGCGCCAGTGTGGACACTCTCATTGGGGGTGTTGAGAGCTCTCTCTTGCCGACAAAGAGAGGCGACTCTGCGAACCTTACAGGGGCACGGCCGTAGCAGCACAGCTGTGCCCCTGTAAGCTGTGCAGTGTAGACATAGCCTTAGAACGGTAGGACAAGTGATGTTGTTTTGCACGGTCTACTTCTGCTGACAATTGAGATATCTCAGCTTTTGTCGAAGAACTGAAGATCCTGCTCTGGTCTTTTTGTTTCAAGTAAAGGAAATGCTGTACCTTTTCCCTGTTCTAGTTTATCTAAACATGGCCTTGGGACTATAGAAACAATGCTGATTAATGGAATTTCAGGAACAGAAGTAGGAATACTGGATATTATACTAGCCAGAAATGAGCTAACCCTTTAAAAAAAAAAAACCCCACACATTTTAGCTCTTCGGAAATAAAGATTGCTCCTACACTTAGAATTAAATGTGGTTCCCCAGATGTTCAGTCCATGGCAGAAGGAGTAAACAACCCTCTCCCAGCTACCTTGAGTCCACAGCTGAGAGTGTAGGATGTTTACACGTGCTACAGCATGGCAGATTCCACATCACTAAAGCCTGTTGGACTCCCTGATATTAAATAAGGGCTGCCCATAGATCAGTATCAATTACACCTACTTGAGATGCCAATTAAAACAAAACAAAAACACCCAAGTGAAACAAGATCAAAGTGTATGTAGTCTGAACGGCTGAGGGCTTAATAATGGCATACAGAGTCTTTCATCTCTAAATTGCCTGTTCACAGTGATAATGACTGAAAGTTGTTACTGCTAGATGGATTCTTAGAGACCTATGTAAAATGAGCCCAGTTCCTAATAAACATCACAGGGCTACAACTGACACTAAGTGGCACCTTTTTTTGGTCAGTTTCAAGCAGGAGGAAAGGTTGAACAGACCACGGAAAATAAACTGTCTTCTTCCATCACTGAAGTAGATTTCCTTCAGGTCAAAGCTGAGATACAGATTGGCAAAGAATGACATGGAGGAAGCATGCAATATTACTGACTCTAGTACCCTTACTGTGGATAGAGACAGAATCAGAGAGACAAGGG